TCGCTCTTCCCCTGCTCCCTGGCTTAGAGGCTAGCCCACACGGGTGCTCAGTGATGACCTCCTGAATTTGTTGAACATAGCTGCAAACAGAGACTCCCATCTGCTAATTGATTGAATACAGCAGCTATCTAATTGTTCTCGGAGATGCTATGGAGGTAATTTCTGTCTCTTTTTGTTACCATGGGAAAAAGTCAAGCTGGGCTTCTATACTATAGCTCCTGTAAAACCAACTCTCCCTTTCCAACCAGTGTCAGAAGGAAGCTAATGCAGAGTAAATGTATAAAGTAAAACAAATAAAGACAGTCAAATGAGGGTGCTGGAGTTGACTTCAAAACCAGCATTGCTCATTTCCCTCTCCTACAGCTGGACAACGGAAAGTAGTTACATGAAAATTAAACCGTGCCAAGGGCTTTGGCTTGTCAGCCTCGATAAATGTCTGGCACACAGAGAGAAGCCTGAGCCATCACAACCTGCCTGAGCACATGCAGGAGGCTTCCGGGATCCCCAGAGGCTGCATGGTATATGAATATCATCAAATTCTTTTAAAGAATTAGATTTATGTCCTCCCATTTTTTTTCTCACAAAGCCTATCTCATTAATTTAAATGGGGGAGATGATTAAGAAAAAGTACTCCTCTCTTTGCTGCTAATATGGAGTCATGGAGGCAAGAAGACTGTTAATTTTGAAGTGTGCTGGGTAGGGCTTTTCTGCTGATTGTGTTGCTATTGATTCGAACAGCCACAAGTCTTTAGGATCATTTTTAGAGCGAAGACATGAACAGGGCTGAAATGAAAATCAGTCCCAGATAATGAACACTTCTGCTTGGAAATCATTATGGACTGAGCCCTGCTGGGAAGGTGCTGAGCCTGGGGAGTTAGCTCTTGCCTCAGTAGAGGAGGGAGTCAGTGCTCAGTGATTAGCCAGTTCCCTGGGTCCCAGGCATCCAACCCTCGGGAATATTTGTCTGATTTCATCAATTCAAAAATAACAAGTGGGATTTTGTTGGTTCACTTATTTATTTTTCATTTTCTCCAATCTCCTGTGCACTTCTAAGAGAGCTTTCATGAAAGACCCCAGAGTTTTCCAGCTGTTCAATTCAAGGCACCAACCACTAGGGAACTGATGGATGGGCATGGCATGCTGGTATAGCTTTTTTTTTTTTTCCTGGAAAATGGATGGCTGCTCTCTGTGTATGGTGGCTAGTTTCCTAGATGTCTTGCAGGTTAAGTTTTGAGTGGGAAATGAGAAATAGAGAGTAAAAAGTTTATGACATGAACTGAATTAAACGAATTCAAATTTCCCCTTTCTTTCTTTCTTTTTTTTTCCTCAGTATCATAAATCAATTTTACTGAAATGTAGATGGAGAAACAAATTGGAATGTCCCTTTGCTTGGGTATTATTGTTGGTGGCTGCTCTCATGTGCTGAGGCAGACTTTAGTATAAGCAACAGAGAAAAAATGGCTTACCACCCTACGTCTCTCCTTTCTGGATATTTCTAGACAAAGGTTGCTGATTTCTGAAACATGGGAAGGTGGGGGCACTGGCAGTGGTCACCTTCACAGAGACTCGGGTCCCTGGAAGACACACTCTCTTGTTAACTTCAGAGCCTTTGGTCTAAACTGAGCATGGCTGGATGTTGCCACAGAAATCAGTTTTTGTATCTGTGAAGTTTGGGGCCTTGGTCAGACTTACAGAATTTGTTAAAATCTGTTAGGATAGAGTCAGCATCCTGGAGAGGCTTCTCCAATGGGCTTAATGGCTTTACTCCACCGTGGCAGGTCATTCTGTGCTGGACTCTTCTGGTCTCACCCTCCCTCTCCTCTTCCTCTCCGTCTTCTCCGTTAACTGAGAACGGCAGTTTACCTATTTTCAAGCTCTGAATAGCAGACTCGGGTTGTCCATTTGGCTAGCTGAGCAATGGACTGGTCTGTGGCCAAACCAGTCAGCTGTTCCTCCTGGGCCCAGTCTGCCTCTGCTTGGCTGCTCACCTTTTTCTGAGAAGTCACACAGTGTCCTGATCATCTGGGGGTTTGGGTTTCAAAATACCGTCCTACAGAGACTGGAAAATGGCAGCGTGATTTTTATCTTTCACTCATGGCCAGACTATCTGGTGGGAGGTATATGCTATTACCTACCACTCACCTGGATACCTGCTGAAGCTTGCTATTTTATAACACTGCCCCCCCCACCTTGATCTTACCCAAGGTAACAAAGTGATCCCAGTGGCATCATTTAGACACTGCAGCTTTGGAGCTGGCTTGTAATGACCTTGTGCACTGAAAGAAGGCGGGGGTAAGGCTTTGGTTTCTTGTTGACACCTTTTCCCTGCAAATAAGTCCAGCCACCAAACGCTTCCTGTGATGACACATCTTTGGTCACTTATCCAAATGCTTCCCAACTTCCATTTGCTTCTGCCCTCCCCCACCTCACACAAAACATAAAGGTCTTTTAATACTCCAAACAGCTCACCTAACCATGAATGAGTAATGTACCCACAAGAGGTAGCCCGGGGACATGAGAACAGCTCTCCACCCAATTGGGACTGAAAAGCCAGAACAGAGAAAAGTACTCTCACAAACCCTAGACTTAAATATTTGCAATCAAAATCTCATTCAGAAAGGATTGGTTTTAAACATATAAAGTGTTCCCTTTACTGCCATAATTTTGGGAGAATTCAGTAGCTCCTAAATGCCTGACTGAAGAATGTCTTTTTATTTAAATAATGGGATTGTGAAGCCTAACTGGTCCTATAGATTTTCCCCTTGTAAATGTGCAGAAATAGCTTGACAGAAACGGGGGGGGGGCATTTGATTGGGGTAATTCACGGGAGATGTGTCTATTTCCTTTCAATGAATATAAAATCTCAAGTTCCTTCCAAGAGAGAAATATTAGGGCACTGGTTGAGTTGGTAAATGTGTCCTCTCTTCTTCCTGTGTCTTGTGTTACTTCCTCCTCCTTTCTCCTGTGTAATTTCCATGCCTGTTTGTGTCCCTTCTATAGATCTTAAGTCCTTTATGGGGAAAGGCCTGTCTCATTCAACTTCATCCCATTCCCACGGCCGCTGGTAGAGTGCTTAGCACATAGTGGGTGCTCAGAAATGCATGTTAATATGAACATAAGTAGAACCATGGACCAGGAGCAGAGGTCTGAACCTCTGAACTGACTCTGAGGAGGACATTGACTCTAAGGCTCAGTTTACTCATCACAAAAAACAAAACAAAACAAAAAAAAACCAACAAAAACTGTACCTAATAATGGACTTCTCAAATATTTCACAAAGTTGCTTGGAGGCCCAAGAAAGGGACGCTATGCACAAAACATTTCAGGAGATAAGAAAGCAGTATAAGGTAGCTCTCCCCAGTCAAAAGCTTGCACAGACCTGACATGTACTGTCACTGCCTAGAGGGCTGAGTAGAGGACTAGTGGGCATCAGCTATAACCACTACCTGAATGCTATGCTTGGATGACAAGGGGAATATTCAGTTGAACCTGAAAGCTATGTGATGAGAGAGCCAATTCAGGATGGGCTTGGGGCAGAGAGGGAGGATGGGGATGGCCTATACAGACTGAGAACAAAGAGGAGCTCAAGGTGTTTGAAACAAACATGTCCTCAAAGCCTTGTGGAACTCTTATAACAGCCTTAATTCTTGCCTGCTATTCTCTAGGCCACAAAAGATTGTCCACCAGTTACTATAGCAACAATTCTCCTCACGAACTGCCCACGTTAGAATGGAGATGGAAAAGTCTTCCTTATTAAAATAAGAAGAAAGAAGAAGAAATTAGGGTTTTGATATATTTGCCCTCTATTCAGAGCATCCCCCCTTTTACGAGAAGAAAAAAGAGGCAGCTGCTATTATTACAAATATGCTTTGAATTCCCAGCAGTTAAATTTCCCAACTTTCATCGCAGACTGCAAGAGACCGTATTTGTTCTACTATATCTGAAAAATGATGTTATTTCCTCAAGAGAAAACAGTCACATAGGAGATAAGGGGCCACAGGCTAAGTGGTGACAGCCTTGTCAACCTTTAGGCTTTCCTTTTCTGGGGGGAGTCCAGCTATACCAACCCCGTGTCAAAGCAGATTTTTATCCACCATGAAGCCTTGCTGGGTCACCCCATTAGTCCTTTCTTTGGATCTTGGCAACAGCCAAGTCCAAGCTGCCACCTGAGCAGTGCCTGTGTGAAATGCTTCCTGGGCCCTGTGGTTCTGCCTTGTGATAACCCTGGATGGGGCAGCCCCACCTGCCTAGGCCTTCTCCAGGCAGGTTGGGATGCTTGTTAGCAAGCCCTGTGATGAGGGTACACTCTATTTATGGTCAAAGACCAACTAGCGTTTGGTTTTTTAACTTTATACCAGGTTACATAGTCTCAGAAATAAGTAAAAGGAAAGGCTCTCCAAGCTAGGAAGTGTGTGTGTGTGTGTGTGTGTGTGTGTGTGTGTGTGTGTGTGTGTGGTTGTGCATGTACATGTACACTATGAACCTTTACCTGGAATTCTGCCTCAACAAAGGCTTTCTTTTCATTCTTAAGCCCTAAGACTTTGGGTGTATGAGATTCCACTGCCTTCCCTGTGTAAAGCAACCTGGAGACCAAGCTTAGGGAGGACCTGCTGGTGTCAGTGGAGAAAGGCTATTTAGTCAAGTACATTAACACAGTGAATTACAACCCAAGGAGTTTGAAAACACTGAGCCTAGGGGTGGTAAGTGACATAAAGGTGAACCTTTTCCCCTGCAGAAAAGAACAAGGTGTTCAGAACTCTGCAGACTGGGTGAGTGACAGGATTCTGGGTGAGCCCAAGGCAGAAGTGAGGGCCACAGGACAATGTAACCACCCTGAAGTCCTCACCGATGGTGACACTGGGCTCTTGGAAATGCCCGATGGTTGGGACACAGGCAGTGCCTGAAACATAGAGAGTAGATTCCAGGAAGCTGATGGCCTTCCCAGACCTGTCATAAAATTAGAGGCGAGTGTGACAGACTTGGGCATACATGGGTCGGGCTTTACAAAAGGGACACACAGGCTGGTCAGCAGGCCAGTGGGTACTAGTAGGAGAGGGTGGATTCATCCCACTCTAGCTGGGCTTGCCTCGTGCCACTGTGCCCATGTCTGCGTCTGCCCATTCCTTCCTCCTCTTCCTCTTCGCTGTCATCAGAGCCACTGCTGCTGGAGCTCATGACTTCCTCTGCTTCCTCCTCTTCCTCTCCTTCAGTCTCATCTTCCCCATGCCCTGGTTCTTCATGTTTCTGGAGAGAAATGAAATATACATCAAGGACTGGGTAGGGGCTGCTTGGGAGCTCTGGGCAGCAAAGACTCTTGGGATTCATTTCACTTAAAGCCAAACCCCTTACCCTGCCTAGACAGGATCTAGGAAAGGGACCTGGGAGAGGAGAGTCAGAAAGTCAGATAAAGAGCTAACATAGCAGCAAATCCCAGGACACATAGTCAAGGTAACATATTAGTGTCATTGGACTGGATGGGCACCATCTTTCAGACCCTTTATAGAACACTTGGGTTCTTAACTGTTTGCTTCCCAGGGGCAGAATCATGCTTAATCTTGGACACCTTTCTATGTGGGAACATCGTGTCGCTGGAAATAGAAGGTCGTTTAAGCCAAGGTGCAGGTGTGCTGTAATTAAAAACTATTCGTTTGCAAAGAACAACATTTATGTCCTCACTTTCCCTGCCTGCCCCCCTTATGCCATAATTTGTGATTAAAACTGTACCCTACTTTTCCATTTTTACAGCTTTGTAGTGATTCCGGCAGCATCCCTTTTCTGCGTTTATGTTTTGAGGTGGCAAATTGGGCCACGAGTGACATGTTGCCCTGTGTGGCTACATGGCTCTTTAGGTCGTCTTCTATCCACTTCTGTCTCCTCCAAATCACACCTTTCTTCCAGGCCTCCCTTGCTTTAGCCTCCCCTAGTGATTGCTCTTGCCTTGAATGGACAGCCCCCAAGAGTATACACACTGGAGAGCCTCAGCAAGAGCTGGGCGTGCTAGGTCAGCCCCTTTGAGGCGCACTACCATTTGCTCCTCAGATTGCTCTCGCTTCTCACACGTAAGGCTCAGCTCTTGGGGGATGAAAGTGCTGGAGTCCCATCCCAGCATGCTTAGAGAAATTGAGCCATACTGGTATGCCGGCCCTGAAAGAGGAACAGGAGATGAGCTGTGGGTGAAACAGGAGCCAGGCAGCAGTGATCCTCTCTAGCATTTCCCTACTGCTTTTCCTGACCTTTTCTTGGCTTGTGTCTTCCAGACTCAGCACCTGTGGGCAAAAGGGCGGACAGGCAGACGCACAGCTCAGGGCCCTTGCACGGTCATGGATAGCTTCTGGGGGCTGTTGGCCAACTGCAATCACGTAAACCTCTGAACTGTACTGGCTTGGGTTTGAATGCTGGCTGCATTCCTTTGAACATGGTGCCAGTCTTCTCCCAGTCCCACCTTGGGAAATGAGGGTGATGCTTCCCCACTTCCCATGATGCCTGTACAGGCAGGCAGAACATCTGGAACAGTGTCTCGCTAAAGGGGAACTTATTAAATGGCAGGTGTTGTTCTGGTTTTGTTTTAACTTATTTCAAGCCTTTTAAGTGAACTCTGTAGGCCACCTAATTTGCACTGTTAGCTAATCAAGAGTTCAATATTGAATTCCTGAGTGTTAGTCCTCTCTGAACTACAGTGGGGCTGAGGGAGAGATACTGAATGACTACTCGCTTTAGGAAAATTCTAGTTATATTTGTGGGGTAAGAATGATTGCACATTTTAAGTCAGGGAACACAGTTCACAGGGGAATAGGGCCGGTTCCAGTTGCAAGGACTAAAGCAGTGCAGAGATGGGACAATGACTGCAACAGGACTCATTAGATGAGGAGAAGTCTGGATCCAGGGTCTAGGCAGGGGGAGAACCAAGCTGATTAGCAGAAGCAGCCCACCCAGAGCTCCCATCCCAGGGACAATCACCTCCATAGGATTGACTGTAATAGTCAGTGCAGAGTCATCCCAGTCCATCTCAGCCTCTTTGGCAGCTCCAGTCTCTTGGAGAAAATGCTGGTGGGCAATTCGGACTCGGTACACACCCATGGCCACAACAAACACCAGCATGCACACGGAGATAATGATGACCACTGTGGCGATGCTCGGGACCACTGAAACAAAAAAGGGCATCCAATAACACAATAATTAAAGCTATAACTCATTCTTCTGAAGGACAAAAATCCAGGTTCATAATAAAATCTTCCCTCCAATTTCCCAGCCGTAGAGCTCTGGGCCCTTAAATCCCTCTGTCCGGGATATATGTTTATCAAATGTGTATCAGATATTATACTCACTCTGCTATGGTAATTGTGAGATGTAAAGGAAATGTCTGTGAGCTTCTATTAGGCACACGGTAGGCATGACTTTTCTCCTCAAATTATAGGGAAGTCTCTCTCCACTGAGAGTGAGGCATTGTAAAGGTTAGTGAAACACAAGTGCTACCAGACAGTGGCACAATATGGCACGTGCTCAAACAAAAGCATGGGCAGATGACTTTGAATATGGTAAGTGTGTGAGGGGTTCATGGGAAGCTTCTGAGTTAGCCCTGAAATGACTAGCATATTGTCTCAGCCCTTTGTACCAACCTCTGTCATTATGGAGTGTGTGAAACTCCTTGTTTAGTTGATGGACTCCTGTTGAAAGCAGGAGTATTTAGAGAGAGGGTTTTTGTAGTTTCTCTGTGGCAGGACTCCCTTCCCCAGCTCCGACCATCTTTGGATGCTACAATATAACTGCTTGGTGGCTCTTCTTGAGTCCCAGTGTCTGAACTGCCAATGAGTATCCTACCTGAACTGCGCTGGATACTACTCCGGGACTCAGGGTGATGGACAGATTGGAGGAAGGGTGGCTGCACAATAAGGTGGTTGACATGTTCCTTATCAGAGACTCTGACTTCATGGAGGACACTGACCTAGGGAGAGCAAGGAGAGATACAAGTAAGTGCTTGAGACAGTTCTCTGAAGGAATGAGGAGATGGGTAGGTGGTGGGTCAGGCCTTCCCTAACAAAGGCAGGACATACTCACCTCCAAGTTGAACTCATTGCTAGTGTAACGCCCATTGAGTTCTGAACATTTGATCCGGAACCTCCGGGTCTCAAGGGAAGTGGGCCGCCAGTTGCGGTAACGGAGGTGGTGCAGCACCTGCTCGTAGCGGCTCATGGACCCCACACCTGCACCAAGAGACCACACCTACTATCAGGAGGCGTGGGAGAGGGGAAACTGCAGGCACAGGAGACAGTGATGCTGCTGGGGTCATTAAACCAAGGGTAACAGTCAGAGGGCTTATGGGTGGAAGATGAGCAGAAGCAGAGAAGTTTCAAAGGTTAAACCAATCCAAAGAATTTTCACGTAGGCTAATCTATGACTGGAATGTTTGGCCTTATGCTGCCAAACACGGCTGAAGCATGTTCTGAGATCAAAAAGTGAAAGCATTCTCTTAGTTTCTACAGATTCCCAAGGAACAAGGATATGGTACAATTTTCCCAGAGTCTGGAGTCACTCTAGAAAGTATAGAAACATAAGAGTTTCCACTTGACCTCTAGGACTGTGCAACTCACCCCACCCCCAGTTGCTCCCATATGCAGTAGTTCCTTGACTAGGCTGCTCTGAGGGGACACCCCTGAGCAGAGGGGCCATGTGAGACCTTACCATAGATGGAGTAGCCAGCCGTAGAGTTAGTGGCATCCAGGTGTCGTTGGTGGAGTTCACTGTGGTTGAGCTCCAAGCACTCTTGTCTTGGATCCAAGTCCCCTCCGAGCACCAAAATGTCACAGAAATCCAAATTGTGTAGCATTTCTTCCAAGACTGCTGATTTCGGGGCTGTAGGAAGGGAGGGTGCATGAGAAACACCATCAGGAAGAGCTCTTGCTCACCACGACACCTCCTCTGTTACTACCTACAGGTCCAGGCAGGTCAGGAGAAGGGGGTGTGTAACCCCATCAGCCACACCCACTGCTCAAACATCAGGCCAGCTTCAAGGAGGTGGTATCAATTAGTGGGGAGAAGGTATGTGTCTCTGAAAAGCCACATAATGCTCAATTTCCTCATCTGAGAAGACACTAGAAGCCATAGCTTGCATTTGATGAGAGTTAACTGGCTCTTTATCAGTCTTTTCTAGTTCTTTTTCCATGGGGACAGTGTGTGTGTGTGTGTGTGTGTGTGTGTGTGTGTGTGTGTGTGTGTGTACATGTGTGCATGTGTGTGTCCTCACCAGGCTCTGAGGATCTTGAGAAAAGAAATTTCTTTAGAATCTAGCACAGGAACTGCCATGAAGCAGCCAGCTTTGCTCAAACAGAGATGGACTGGTCATTAATCATCACTGGATTCAACAAGATATAAGCAAAAGTTAATTAATGATTGATAAATCAGAGTACATTAATTAGTTCACATGCTCCCACAGGAGCACATTAGCAAGCTGGTCAGTCTTGTAGTCCTTGCCAGGTTTCATGACTCTAAATTTCTCAGGGAAATATCCATGTATTGAAATGTTAGATAATCTGGCAGTCCTAACTGAAAACTCCATTTTGAGATGAAGGTGATGGCTGCTTACTGAATGTGTGCTGTGCACCAGGCACAGTGCACACACAATAGGCAGTATAATCCACACCCCATCACTGGGGAAATGGGTAATCAAAGAAGTGGGCAGAGTTGCCTGAAGTCACACAGAGAACGAAGGGAGGTATGAGGCAGAGCGTGTTGTCCTGACCCTATAACTTGGAAACTTGTAACCTCTAAGGCCAAGTCTTCAAATATTACTGGCATTTATAAAAATAAAAATGTTTAAAAAGACATCCAGCGGACAAGATAGCTATTTTAATTAAAAAATTCCAGTGGTACCTAAAATAGTTTTGTTCTCGTTAACTATATATTATTAGTTTCTGTGTGCCTAATTTTTTTTTCTGTTAGCCAACTACAATGGTTCCATGTGTTACTAACAATATCTAAAAGCATAATAATCTTCATTGACACTGAGGGCAATCATTAACAGCAGTGAATGTGTAATTTTGAATCTCTCCCGGGTGTTTTCTAGCTTCCTTGCAGGTGGAGTTAGGTCACCTTCCTTATACTATGGCTGGCAGAGCCACACTAGACAGGCGTGTGTCCTGGCTGCCATCACATGGCATTATTTCCCATCCCTACTTTCCTGTGTTGGAGGGATGCTGGGTTAGGAGCCCAGAGTGGAATCATCCATGGCTGAGCTCTGCAAACAATAGCAGGGGTCAGGACAGCAGTGGCTACAAAGGAGCTAAGTAGCACAGAAGCATAGGAACATGTATGTGTTGGGGTGTTGAGTATGCATTCTGTGCTCCTGCACAATTTACATGGCTGTGAGTATATGTGTATGCGTGTCAGTGCGGGGCAGAAGATGATCCCGGAACCTGTCCCTGTGGCCTGGTAGCAAACAGTTAGCCTGCTCATTTAAGAGTCTCGTAAAAATGACTATTTCAACAGTAAGTATAGAAATTTAGGAGTACTAATAATAGCTCTCGGGCACTGGGCTGTGCGCTCTGCCTGCACCTCTCATAAATAGAAGGTGAAATGTGGACTCAGTTAGCTGCTTTCTCCCGCATTGCCCGCGTGCGGGTGTCAGCGGCAGCGAAGCTTGATGCTCTTGGGCTGTGACCACTGAAGTCAGCAGGCCTTCCTTTTTTCAGTCTGATTTTAGCCACAAATGAGGACAACAGAGGAGGGGAGGTCACACGACTTAATGCATCTTGGCATGTAACTCAGAAACCTCCCTGGCTGGCCAGGTGTGAAATACAAACTATTTTTAGGCTTTCAGGAGGTCTGCCCCTTGAGAACCTAATCAGTGGGGACCAGGGTGGTTTAAGATGGTGTGTAATTGGGATTATTATAGAAGGGGCTCTTCGGGGACTCAGGCCTACCGGTACCCAGTACATCATTAGCAGTGGCTTAGGATACGGGGAGGGAGTTGAAGTTGTGCTTCTGGAAGGATTGCTCTCAGACAAGCATTGTCAGGAAATGCTGAGTCCCTCTGAGCTGCAAAAGGAAGGCATCCCTCCCTTCCTCACCACAGACTCTCTCTCTGTGGGCTCCTTTCCTTTTGTCTGCCTCCAACACATGCTCTTGCTTTCTCTGTAACCGAGTGTTTCTTTCAGGCAGAGAATGGAAACTAAGCCTCCCCTCAGCAACAGCCCTAATAATGAAGCTGGTGGGAATTACAACCTGGAAGTTCCCCCGAGAGCTTAGTCATATTGCCGAGTGAGCCTCAGCCTTCTGTTGGGTAATGCGAAGTTGGGTTCTATCCTTTGCACACCTTTAGCTTTTCTTTGATGGGAATAATACAAACCCACTCCAGGACTTTTTTTTTTCAGTTACAGAAAAGGGAAGGTAAGCACAAACAAATCATCCCTATCCATGTTCCTCAGGGGACACTGCTGTTAGCATCAAGTATCTTTTCTTCTGGGCATCTCTTTCTTACACGACTGTGATCATGCTACACGGATACTGCTAAGTCTGCGTGTTACTTCTTTTCACTTACCATATAGCACAAGTGTATTCCTTCTTGCTTCCTGTCACTAACATGGGTGTGCTATGCTTTGTTAAGCTGCCAATCACCTGAGCGTTTCTAGCTTGGTTTGATTTTTCCTATCATACAGCATCCTTCCATGGATGAGCAGTGTTGTTGTCCTGATGCATCATTTTACCGGAGTGTACGGAGTTAAGGTCCGCCCTCCCAGTGGCCCCATAAGCACCTGTGCCTGTGGTTCTTGTGTCCCCGGAGGCCTCAGTTTTGGCAAAGGTGCTCACGATCTTGATGTCAGGGAAGAGAGTCACTCCTCTGACACTTTCAAACTGGGCAGCAGGTCTCCAGAAGCGCTCTGTTCCCTGGAGGGTGATCTGGGGCTCGATGGCCTGCAGGACCATGATGTAGGCATCCACATCTGGGATGCTGATGCACACATCTTCCCCAAAGCACCTGGGAAAACATCTCCAGTCATGGCCCTGCTCAGCTGATGGTTTCAACCATCTACTCCAGAGCTGTGGGCAATGACTGCTACCTCCAGTCCTTGCCATGGTGTCCTGGATGCTAGCAGTCTCTGAGGGTGACTGCCAACTTTCACATTTAAGGCCACGTTAGCACCCTAACCACAAAGAGAGTGGTTCCTAGGAGGGATGGGACTTTTCTATACTAGCAACAAGTAATCATTAAAGCTTTCATTATCTTTTAGCAAAGTAATCCATGGCAACATTAATTAGAAAGCAAATGCTCACTTTTGTGCATTAGTATTTGGTAAGGGAACTGTTGTCTGGTTGGCTGTAGCCATTTTACTAGATGGGACCCCAGGGCTAGATTCTCCTGCTGTGGCATATGCATATGTACTGTCTCTGAGGATATCATGGGGGGTGCACCTCTTCTGTGGGTGAGGGCAGAAGACTGAAGTGGTTACATTACTTCACCCTAGTGCACTGCTACATGAGTATCTGGGAGACAGTAATGATGTTACAAGAACCAAGGCTTGGAAGAGGGATAGGTGAGAATCCATGCCCTTCTTGGTCACTCCTGGCTGGGTATTTCATTGCTCTGTATTTCAACTTCTTATCTATTCAATAGGGAGGGCAATGATTACCCTGTAGTAGTAATGGCTAGTTATGAAGACCTTCAAAAAAAGCTACAAGCTTCCTCAGTAGAATCATTGAAGCCTACGTGCCATTGATAGTCTCCATCATCAATGAATCCAAAGACTTGGGCAAAAACAGTGAGCACTGCCTAGACCAACTGTGTGCTCTAGGCACCAGGGTAGATCCCTAATGGGGCAGCCATCATTCTTCATGCTGAGGGAAGGTCCCCAGTGGAAGAAGGAAGGGTAGTTTGGGTAAGTCCCCTATGGAAATGGATTGTTTTCATCTCTTTCATGCTCTAGGTAAATGCTGAGTTTGGGTGCTACTGCAGGTACCCAGCTCAGCTTCCTGTTGCCTTTGCCATGCCCACCCAGTGGGCTCCCCTTTCCTTGCAGTTTATGGACAGTAGGACTCAGGGATGGACACTGGGTAGTCTCTTCCCTCCTTTTTGCACCAATTTGGAGCTGATTCAGAGGTGCCTATGTCTAACCTCAGGCTTCTAGGTGGGAGCATTCTCCATCACTCTTATTGAGTGTCGCTTTCCATAGTGGGCATCTCTACCAGGCCCAGAAATGCATCTGCCAGCAGACCCACCCTTCCCACCCTCGTTCCTTCCTCCTGAGTTCTTGGTAACTCTACTTCCACCTTCTAGGAGTTTCTCTGAGGTTCCTTGCCTAGCAGTCATCTCAAGTAGCTGCCATATCTGGGAACTGAGCTATCAAAAACTACAGTAATCGCATTTACTAATTGAACTTTCCTCCCTTCTCTTCCTCTGGCTTATCCATAGTATTTAGGAATTCTGCAAAGCAAAGTTGGTTAATCTAGTTGAATTTAATAACTATTTACCAAGCGCCTACCATGTACCAGGTACTATGCTCTTAAATCAGACCATTTTAGACCTAGCTTTTGGAAAATAGACCTTTCTAGGTATCAGATTAGATGTGGAATAAAACAGCAAGGTGGGTTTGAATTGGAGACACAACATGATATTTCCCTTAAGAAAGCCAAAGGAGAGTAGAGGTCTCTGAAGCATTCTCCCACAGATAACAGAGTTGAGGAAAGTCGAACAAGAGAAGCCCTACTCACAAAGGAACAGTCTTAAGGGATCATTGTTGCTGCCTCAGTTGGGCCTAGGCCAATTGGCTTTTACTCACTGGACTTTGGAAGAGACTCTGAGGCGCCGGACCCCTGCTGTTGGGAACTGCCTGGAATTGATGTAGGAGACCTTCTGGAGGGCTCGGTTGATGTTCCCAATGTCATCACCTTCCATCACGAGGATAGACTGTGAAGGGTTGAAGTGATACTGGAAGATAGAAGTGGAGATGATGGGAAAGACGGTCAGTGATAGGCGTGGCTAGCTGAAAACTGTGCAACTCCACAAGGAGGCCACTAAAGTTATCTCCAGAACATTGGAAGATGATAAATCAGTGTGGTCTCCAACTCTTCAGTAAGTTGTACCACTTTCTTCTGAGCATCAGGACCCAGGACCTTCCCTAGGAGTTAAACCTAAGGATTAACAGCTTGAACCACAGGATGGAACTCTGAGAATTCTGTCACAGTGTTCTTGCTAAGAGGTATCTTTGTTTTGTTTCACAGACAGGGTCTCACCATGTAGGCATCACTGGCATGGAATTCACTATGCAGACCACGGTAGCCTCAGACTAATAGATATTAGCCTGCCTGTGCCTCCCGGGTATTGGGATAGAAGGTGTGAGCCACCATGCCCTTTGATAGCAAGGGTTTTGTGCTATTTTCAATTTTTTACTGATATTATTACAATCCATAATCTCATAATATAAACACATGAATGTATCCAGAAGACAAATCCTGGCATGGAAAATTTCTAGGTCAAAGAGTAATACATACTCTTTGTCCATGCTGACAAATTTTATTGCCTGAATTGTCAACACATCAACACACACACACACACACACACACACACACACACACACACACACACACACATGCACACATCTGCCTTCATCTACTTTAACCTCAGCCATCTGCTTGCTGTCAGTCTTTGGGAACCCAGCCAGACTTATAGGTGACAAATGCCAACTTATTCTAGTTTTAATTCATATTTCTTTTACTATATGCGTTTAAGGAAAACTATCTGCTTCTTTACCCCGACCTGACCCAAATGTCTTGTGCTATGTTTGGAGATAGATGTGTCAATGTTGGTGACACTGAACCATGTGAGTCACTGGCATGGTAGTCCTAGTCAGCTGATGGGTCTTTCTTTGTTTCCTTTAGCTACTATATAAGTGTTTTATTTCTGCCTACTCTTCTTCATTTAGGTCCCACTGGGATAGTGGGCTTCTTCTTCTTTTTTTTTCTGGTAGCACTTACAAAAGGATGGTAGTATCATGATTACATGGCACACTGATGAGGGATTGTCTCACTGAATACAGGACCCTACTGACCCCTTGCTCCCAGAAGCTAGCCCCAGTGATCTCAGAACTCCTGTTAGATGAATAAATGAATGGTTCCCCAAGCCTCCATTTTACTTAGCACCAACTTCTGTCCCCCCAACATGACCTCCTTCTAGTCACTTGCTTTTCAGCAGAGCATATCATCACAGTACCAAACCCCACTCTCTCCCCTTCCTGGTCACTAGCGAAGTGACACTTCCTTCCTCCCTTGTGCCATGTGCTCTAGGGCCATGTGACCCACCTGACCAATGAGACATAAGGAGAGGTGAAGTATGATGCCCTGGGCCAAGGCAGGAAATTTCCCTGTGGGGTTCTCTAGTCTTTCCCTCTACTCTAGTGCCTTCAGCCTGTATACAGGAACTCTACTCCACCTCCAGTACTTACAATAAGAGGAAAACTGAATCAGTCACTGAATCTGGAGAGTTACTACCACAATAAGTCAACCTCTCTGGAGGATGAAGTCAGCCCTACCCTGTCGTGATTCTTCTCTGAAGCTACATAGCATGTCTGAGAGACAACAATATTTAGGATTGCCATTCTAGCTCCAATGTACATTACGGAATGCAGTTTTGGGTAGATACTCCCCCTTTGTCATTTGAAACATGAAGAAATGAATATCTACCTGTCTGAAGTTTAAATGAGCTAACATACAGGATGACTCTACTGCAAATGAAATACTTGAGGCTAGAAGTGTTTGGGATTTTGTATTTTTTTCTATTAGATTTAGAATATCTGCACATATATGTCAAGTTTTAGGGCTAGAATCCAAATCTGTATATGAAATTCACTTATAGTTCATATATATCTCATACACACAGTCTGAAGGTAACTGCATATAATATTTTTAACGTGCCTGTGGTTTGACTGTGGTCTGTCACAGGAGACTAGCTGCAAGTTTTTCATTTGTGGTAGCATGTCAGTGCTTATGGAGTTTTGTATTTCAGAACATTAGATTAAGGATGCCCACTTGATATAAAGTTTCTAGTATTTACAAAGCATTCAATATATGAAAGCTTGGGTTATAATCCCCAGAGCTGTAGTAAGTCTATCTTTGTTGAGTCTTTGCTGGTGGAACCCCTGTGTCTTGGTTGCCTTTCCTTCCCTGTGTTCTCTTTCCTGTCCCTCAAAGCCCTGGGTAGGGTCCCTCTGAGCTGTGACCTCTGTCCATGAGCACAGCTTCCTTGCTCTAGATTCAGGAGGTCCCAGGTAGGTGTTCCACAGCCAGTCACTGGGTGTGCCTCTAGCCACTGTTTCACAGGAAGCCACTGGGAGGGGGGGTCTCTAGCTATTGTTTAACAGGCAGCCACTGGAGGTGTCTCAAGGCTCATCCACTCAGGATTCTCAGCTTTGAAGCCACTACACACCAGTGGGTCATGGGTGCTACAGCGGAGTCTTGTGGTGCTGCTGCTGTCTGTGTGAGACCCTCAAGGGTCCGGTTACTGCTCTCCCTCAGCTTTTCTACAGGGTCCAGAGAACCAGTAGTATGAAGAAGATGGTTAGCACTGCACAGCAGGCTGGTTTGAGCCCAGCATGAGGCCAAATAGGAAGATCAACAGGTTTGTTTAGAGCAGTGGTTCTCAGCCTTCCTTTAATACAGTTTCTCATGCTATGGTGACCCCCCCCAACCATAAAATTATTTTTGTTGCTACTTCATAACTGTAATTTTACTACTGTTATGATTTGTAATATAAATATCTGTGTTTTCCAATGATCATAGGTGATCCCTGTGAAAGGGTCATTCGACCCCCAATGGGGTCACGACCCACAGGTTGAGAAATGCTGTTCTAGAACAATGATTAGGTAGCATTTCTTGGCAATCAACAGAGCACATGTGTCCACTGAATCCTAGCAAAGCATGGGTTAGCCAATATGTTGGATTTCCAGGTAATGCCTAGCCCAAGCCCAAGACTATTCTTCTAACCAAAGAGCATGAAGATGGATACTGGTCTAGCTGTCATTATAGTTTCTGAAGGGTCAATAAAAGCCTCCACAGGCTCACATACTTTTCTAGGTGCAGTATTCCATGCTCTAGGGATAGGTCTATAGTTATGAGGCAGACATGTTTGCACTGGCATAATCATAGGGGCCCATAGTTCCTTGGGAATCTGTGCGGTGACTATAGCAAACTAGGAAGATTCTAGACAGATATATTCTACAATGGCCACTTCTCCCAGACACTTAGCTAGTTTCTTTAGTTTCCTTGCAGGCTGGACCATCAGTGAAATTCCTATCTGAAGCCTAAGTTTCCTATGTCACAGCAACAGGCTGGCTATGGCTTCCTGGGCACCTTGTCATTCCCTGACCATCTGCTATCTGCCAGCCTCTTTAATCTGTACCAAATGGTTTAGAGGGTAAAGGCCTTTGCTGCCAAGGCTGACAATTTGAATTGTCAACCCTGAGATCCACATGGTGGAAGGGAAAAACTGAATCCCATAAGTTGTCCTCTGACTCCCACATGAGTATCATGGCTTGTGCCCACCTCTAAATGCATATGCAAGTGTAGTAACAAATGAACAGAAAGGTCTCCCATGCCACAAAGAGACCTGTGATTTGTTGAGAACCCATTAGGTTTGATACAGGGATATGTATCTATATGTTTAGTAAATTAATACACTGCTAAAAGACACATAGGGCATTGGGGGTTGAAATACCTTTCCCAGGGTCACCAAGGCAGTAATTAGTAAATAAACATTGGTGTTGAGCACTTAGGAGTGCCTGGCTCTAAGGTCACTGTTCTTTCTTGCTCTCCTACACTGTGAAGGTGATGATGGCAAGGATGGTGCCAAGGAAATCAGAACAGGGTGGTCTTCCAGATGTGGCTGTTCCATGGTATCTTGTATGGGTGCAAGGCAACAATCACCTCAACCCTGCAGAGACCGAAACGTGCTTGAGAAGTATCCAGAAATAGGCATGAGTCTCAGGAGGATAAGTGGGGCAGAGAGCTGGTGCTAGGCCCAATGAGTGGAGAAGTTTCTTCAGCAAGTGATGTTTCGTTTCTTTGTAAGTCAGTCACACAGAGGGAGGCTAGTCACTGGCAAATCAAATGATAGCCATTCAGAAATGACATGCAGGAGACACACGTGCAGGGTCTGAAGGAAGTTAGTTTCAACAATGGCCAGGACTATCTTTTAATCAGAGTTGCTGGTGTGGAGGAAAAAATATGGGCTTATTTTGGACAAGTCCCCAAGTCCCAGTCCCCTTTGCTTTTGAAATGAGGTCATAATATTTAATTTGTTTTGAGGAGTAGAGATAATGAACATAAAATAGCCCCCAGTGAGCGCTTTGTAAACCAAGTGTCTTATTAACTTCTCTCATGGACCTCAAGCTCTCACAAGCCATGCCGTAGGGATGGGAAAGGATAATTTGCAGTGACGTGAGTATGAGCAGATGGGATGCTGGAGCCTCCCCCTAGACCCCACTATTTGTTTGTCACTTAGCTTAGCACCTTTTCTTTCCACAGGCTATGACTACTCAGTAGAAATCACTTTGGTTCTTAATTTATAATTCACAAATTGCCTTGCGTTAGGTCTAGCATCTTTGCCCCCTCCCCCCCCCCCCCCCGTCAAACCTGGAACTCTGCAACAGTGGCCCCTTGGGATGGTTCAACCTTGGGATGGTTCAAACAGAGGATGCATTTAGAGACAGGCAGTGAGTGAATTGGAGTGAGAAAAAGAGAATTGGAAGCTAAGCTCTGAAGCACTAGGTGAACAATATCCAAAGGAAATAACATATGCTTATCAGACCAGCTTTCCCAGTGACATGTAATTAACAAGTGTGTATGAGCATGTGTGTCAAAGCTATGGTAAACCATATCTGGAAAGTCAATCTTGCCTAATCATGCTTTCTGTATCCCTCCCATCTTCCCCTTCTGACCCAATGTCCAGGGCAGGGACCTTAAACCCTGCTGCATGACCAAGATTATTCTCTCTTGCTTGAGCTTTCAATGGCTCCTAGTGGTTGATGAAAAAAAAATACATCTAAACGTGTTTAGGAGTGTCTATAGCATAGTCTTCATCTAGCTATTTGGTTCCACTTCTGTGCTACTATTTGGGCATCCACAATACTAGCCTTGAGGTTCCTGTGCATTTTGCAATGCCCATTTGCTACTGCTCAAATTCCCAGATCTCCTTGGAGTGCCTGCCCTCTATTCCCCTTCCTTTCCCGGGTGGATTCCTACCTGTTTTTAAATATTCTTCCCAGGCTTTCCCTCCTCTGAGGAGACTTCCCTGAAGGCCATTTACGCTGAATCTGAAGCTATGAAGTGGGCCTGCCTAGATTCAAATTAGGACTTAGCCCATCATTGACTTAAGGATGATGCTTGAGCATCCTTTATCCCTCAGTTCTCAGTATCTGATTGAGAACATCAGGGTACCTTTATCAACAAGAAGGGGTATCACAAAGAGTGATAGTCATAAAGCATTTAGAACAAGCAGTGTCTGCCTCTCAGAGACCTTTAGGAAATGCCAGTGCTCACCATCAATGTAGTGGTACCCAAGCAGGTTTATTGACCACTACAGCCACTGAATTATCTGAAGACAATAAGCCAAGAACATCCACCTGTGTATACTAGAACCCTGTTCATAACTGCAATATGGTATACTTGCTGGGGTGATCACATATTAATGAACATCACAGGTGCTTGGACCAGCAGGCCCTTCTTGCACACCCAGGGCCAGAGCCATCGAACATCAGGCCCCTGTTAAAACGAGTCCCTACTTAGGAAAGGCAGGCCCATGGTAGGATGTCAAGGCAGGCCTATGGCAGGCTGGGGACAGATGGGCAGCAGGTGGCGATCCTCTGTTGTTGTCACCTTCCATTGGGAAACAGCCAAAGGGGGACTACTATGGCTTCTGGGGACTCCAAGAGCTGTCCTGATCTCCAGGACACAGTGGATAGGTCACCCTACTTCCAGAAAGGAGCTAGGGACTCATCTCACAAGGGCCTGTCATGATCCATCAGGGCCTTTGATGGGACTGACCTTGCTCTTTATTCAGAACTCGGGCCCAGGATCAGTGAGAGCTTTTTATATCTAGGTGGGGCCAGAAAATAACCTTACCTGTCAGAAAGAAGCTTGCTGGGATCATCGCTGCCCCTCCCCCACCGTCTGGGAGATGCTTTCCTAAGAATACAGCTCTGATTTCCTGAATCACTTGAATATTTTTGTTTCACGCAGGCAATAAAACCACAAATCTTTTCATGTTCCTTGTGACTTCCAGATATTGCTTGGAGGGGGTGGCTGGCATCATTTTGACAATGTAAGACCTAGTGACTGTCACATCTGTTTTCCAATTCTACCTCACATTTGTCTGCTCTCCTCTTTCTCGTTTGCCTTTTGGAGTCCTAACTTTTTGTTTACATTTTATGCTTTTTGAAATGTATTCTTGCCTGGCGCTTTAGTGCCTTTAGGCAAATGAATAGCAAAGTAACCAACCAATCTGCAGACAAATGAAGTTTCATACCTCCCTGCAGGTACACCCAGGACGGTGTCTACTGTCTATGCTGGAGTACCTGATGTAGCCATTTCAGGAGCCAGCAGCAGAAGTCCATCCAGAAGTCACGGTCACTAACTGGCTCCTGTTAAAGTGTGATCACACCTTAGCTGAGGCACCATTTCTGTGAGGCTCCTCTGGAAACCATTATTTCCTGGCACGCTCAGGTATTGGGTAGCTTTCCACTCATAAATCAGTGTCTTATCAGAGGTGGCAGTGGTTCCTTCCTTACCTTTATTCCTTGCCCGAGGCTTTCCAAGGAATTAATATCCAGCCCTTCTTTGCAGGCTTGCAGACAAGAAATCACCTTCTGGCTTTCCATTTTGCCAGGACGGATCGTGAGGCTGGCGAGGCTGCCATGGAAAAACTGTGCAAATCGTGGTTTGGCCACTTCACCTCCTGTAAGAACAAGAAACATTGCCATCTGCTGTGAGGAGACCAGGTAGGAAGCACCAGGAACCATGGTCCCTCATCCTGTCTGTGTGTTCTTTAAACCTAAGGGACAAAAACAAGCCAGTGTGCTTGTGTGTACATGGGCTGAGCACTGTGGTGGCTGGGGTCTTCTACCATGCCCATGCAAGGTTCAAAATGCTCATGCTGCAGCTTGATCAGAAGCCATGCCCATCTCCTGCCTGCTCTCCAAGCCAGGCTTCCCTTGAGGTCTGCTTGTAGCCCACCTCACACAGACAGCCTTTCCTAGTCTTTCCTATGCACAGTCCTTATTTTTGGCTGGACTGCATGGACTGATCTAGCCTGGATCAGAGAAGAAACAGAATGCAGAGAGAAGATGGACCAGGACTGAGTCCCCATCTGGATAGTTCCCAGGAGAGGTTTTGATGGCTCACGGGACCCCTTAGCGCCCCCTAGCTCTGGTAGACTGTCTCAGCACATCAGCTCCTGCTGCTTCTGTGCTTTATGTGGCCCGAGGCTTGGCAATAGGCTGGGCACGCCTATGAATGGCTTCTCCAGCTCTGTAAAGGGAAGCTTTCTAGCAAGTGCCACTGTGGCACCCTTGCTGCTCTTTGGCAAGCCTGGTGTGCCAACAAAACCCTGTGGGTAGTGGGCGCCCCCTAGGCACACAGCTCCTATATTCCCTAGTGTTCAGTATGTCTTCCTATGTGGTACCCACTTCTTTATGCTTTCCTTTTGAGACTTCGTGTGGGCTGCCTATTGAATCTCTCCTGCAGACTCACTGCACAGCTCTTTCTACTGCTTGGGTATGGACTTGCCTGGGCTCTCCCTCACACCCGGTCCATTGCTCTCACATTTGCTCGCCTCCACCCTGTCCTCTCTGTTGCCCAGATGAGGCAAATTTCACAGTATTTCAAGGTCGCTTAGATTCTCTGTCGCTGCTGCCTCCTCAAACCTTACTGAGTCCCTGCTTCTAAGCCCCGTCCCTGCCCTGAGACCCACCGTGCTCTAGGTTTGGATCACTGTTAGTTGGTTTTATTGTAGCCTTCCACCTGACATTGCTGGCAAATTGTTTACTTGCATATGCTTAAGCTTAGTAGCCTAAATTGTTATCATCCACCTTGGCTAAGAGTTTTAGTCATCTGGGAATCTTTAAAAAGATAAACTGGCACCTGGTGCTTGGTCTGACCCCCTGGAGATTTTTATTTAATTGGTATGGGGAGTTTTAAAAAGCTTCTTGGGTAAAACAGATGTGATGCCAAGGTTAAAAAGCACTGAGCTGTGAGCTTCTCCAGGTTGGGCCTTTTGCATACTCCTTATGTGATCTCTCTCCTTGATGCTACCCGCAGGCTTGCTCTTCGCAAGCTGCTATAATTTATTAGTTTAAGCCTCTCTTTCCTGGATAGCAAAGATCACTCATGCATTATTCATTTTAATGAAGACAATACTGAGCAAGTACGTATTTGGGGCTGAGGGTTGCACCAGACACTGTGCATAAGTTGACTCATTTATTCTTCTCAAGAACACTTGGCCTCTTGTGTCCTCTTGGCATGCTGTAGTCTGCCTGGCATACAACAGATACTTTATAATTGCCTGTTGAATTGAAGCAGATGATGTGCTGAATGCCATCAGAGTCACCGTGGGCACTGCAGCTCTCTCACCCTTCCCTTCTTGCTAAGGCAGCCCAGAGGCTTTGGCCATGGACACAAGCTCCAGGGACAGAGTCTAAGCAATTTTTATTATGCCATCATTGCTCCAATGATGGATTCAGGAGTGGGTCTGGGGCCAAATAAGATGCTGAAGCCAATCACTACCTGGCATTCAATAAGCCATAATTTTATGCCCAAGAATATGCATGGAACCAAATTTAGACTACCATCGTGAGAGCTGATGACTGGTAGCTTATACATAATAGCTTCTATTTGGCTCTCGGAAGGTTTTCAATTAACTCTTGTTGTCTTTCTATAGAGAACACACAGCTGCAAAAACCATCTTGTCATTAGCCTGAGAGTGATAAGGACAATGCAAAATGTAGGGCAGAGCTAGAAGAGTCACATGGGACCAAGTAGGACCCCAGTGGGTATTCCCACTGCTGTGTTCTGGAATATTCTCTGCTATAGAAACCGTCTGTCTTTATGTGTTAAACCATTTTGTCTCTTAGGTTGCTTCCTTGCCACATAAGGATTCTTTGCTTTGAAAGTAAAACAAATCTTTCTAGTGCTTGGTTCCTGGGGAATTCCAAATAGATGTGACTTTGATGAATGGCCTGAAAAGGTCATGGCTATGGATGGATAATTTGAGGTTTTCTGAGCTTGATGCTCCTCCATAACATTTGTATGTTCATGCCCTAATGTTATGGCTTGGATGTCAAGTACCCCCACCAATAAGCTCCCATATTGAAGAGTGGGACCCTCATGTTTAGAGGGTCCCACTCCTGGGAGTCAATTTTTGAATAGACTCCTGGGAGGCAATAGAAGCATGGAGGGTGGGGTCTCTTTGGAAGATGCCAGCCACTATATCTGTTCTCTGGATGTCCTAGGAACAACTCTACTCCTCCATATCCTTCTGCCAGGATGCTCTCCCTCTTCTTGGCCTAGAAACAATGGAGCAGGCTGGTCATGGACTGAAGGCTCTGAATCCATGAGCCAAGACAAATCCTTCTGCACATGAGGATTTTAATTTTACTTGTATTTGTCATAGTAATAAAATGTCTGACTTATAATCATGTGAATTGATATCTGGATATCTTTTTTTTTTGACCTACAGAAAAGAAGCCTGAGCATGAATGATGGAGAAGGTGCCATCCAGATGACCATCTATTTTTTGCCTTGTCTCTACCTTTGATTGGTAGAGTCAATGAGTATCACCAACTAGGTGTGACCTGTGTACCCAACACCATGTGCAATCTCAACATGCATCATCTCTTTGAATCTTCACAACCATCCTGGGATATAGGCAGTCACTAAGTCACTATATAAGCACTCATATATAATAAAACTCAGGCTTGTAGTTGTAAAGTGTATGACCCTACAATCTAACTACATTATCTATTATCTATTGTGCCTCATCATCTCACTCAGAGGCTCTATTTCAAAGGCCAATATCTGTGACAGTATTGGATCCCAAGATACCATGTTCTGCATTTCAACTCAAGAATCTGTGCTGTTCTCTGTTTGTGAGTCAGACATCTGTAGGAATTGGATTGAGTTAGCATTTTTCAATGGGAGGCATGCATAAAATTTGAAGTACATTTTATACAGTGCTAGATATGATATAAGGTATCTAAAACAATAGATAACTGACAATTTTCTCTTTTTAATATTGAAGGTGTCTATATGAGTCACACAGCTTCTCTGTCAAAATTCAGAATAAACTTGGTCATGAATCAATTTAAGAGAACAAAAACATCAAAACTTTGTTTCTAGACATGATTTTGGATTCCTTAGACTAGATCATCATTTCAAAACATTTCCCATGTATCCAGTATTGCCATTAGGTTCACATAATTGTAGGCTGTGGGCTAGGATCTTTAAGAGTTAATATTGAGAGGTGAGAGAGACTAAGGTAAATTAAAATATATGAATCAGATGTTCTAAGATAACCCGAGGTTTCTAAGGCACCACATGATTAATATCTAAACATGTCTACCAGGTCAGAGGAAATAGAAAGCTACCGTGAGGACCTTGAAATGCATCAGGTTCTTTTATATGCTCTTTCATTGACCTTTAAAGATGAGTGTATCTTGGAGATCTTAAGCTCTGTTCTTTATATTTTCATTGGGTATTTCTCCCATGTCACTTCCACTTATGCACACCTCTAGCTTTGCCACACCTCTAGGTGTGGCCATAGAAGAGGCCCAACCTGAGTACCTACACAAGTGTGGGCTTCAGAAACATAAACCTTTCAAAGGGCAAGGAGTGCCTGACAGTGGGTCCTTCTTCAGGAGGGGCAGAGGAAGAGAATCTGGTTTCTTCCAGATGAGGTAGATTGAAGAAATGGAGAGGATAAATTACAGAATGAAATCACCTACAGTTGCTTCTGGGGCTGAGCCCCCAGCAGGATGTGTGAGACCTGCATGGCACTAGGTAGGCCATCCACAGATGGACCTACACAGAGAACATGAGAAACACAAGTATTGATGTAGCCCCATGGAAGGCAAGGAAGTGCCGTGGCAGCTCTCAATCCTAAGGGGTCATTAGTAACTATGGGCCAAAAAGAGCAGGTGAGCATCATCACTATGAATAACCACGTGGAAAGGTGACATTACCGTATGACTCCCCAGTCAACCCACCATTACCCAAGGAAATGGAAAACTGCCACATTTGAGGAGGTTAAACCTCTCTCGCTCACATGGAATGAATGAAGCTCGAAACGAAACAAAGATGGGTGTGGAAAGAAAAACATTTCATCTTTGTGAATTCATAGTCTGATCCAATACATTGACAACTCTTTTTACAAAAGAAATTTACAGGTTTTGATAACTTTCCCAAGGTCACATGGCCAGGAAAAAGTAACATTGAGATTCAGACTTGACCCAACATTCTCCCTGTACATCAACTAATCAGATGTAGCTGAAAAAAGTTGAAGGAAGACTTACTGGAGGAGGACAGGTTGTGACCAATAATGGTGCTGGCAGTGGATACCCAAATTATGTGGCTTTTGTAGATACTGCAGCCTTCATCAGCAATCCATAGCAGCTGGGATGAAAAGGACTGGGAAACCCACTTGTTTTAAAAACCAGCTGTACAGTTGGCCCCTCAGAAGTTTTACATCCACTGTTTAATCAACCACAGACTGGGAATAGTAGTAGACACAGATCTGCCTTTTACTTGTCATCATTCTCTAAGCTGTAGGAACCATTATAGAACATTTATATCCACTTAGGCCTTATAAATAATCTAGAGATAATTTGAAGTATATGAGAGACTGAAAGACATTCAATAATGCTTATGCAAATATTCTACTACTTTATATAAAGAATTTAATATCTCTGATGTTTTTGTATCTACGTGGCATCTGGGGACCAACAGA